GGTACTACATATGTGCAAAGTTTCAAGAAAATCGGCGTGTGACACTTGGATAGTTACTTGTGAGTGCCTCGTTTGAGAGGAATTTCATGCGACACAAGTGAGACAAGTTTCAAATAACCATTAGTACCAGCCTTGGTCAGTCGACAATGGCACGCTCGTCGTTTTCTTCAAACGGCGCCGGTGTTCCGTGGAAAACGCGCGAAAAGCGCCGGGCGGGGTCACGTGATCGCGGCCGATGGCTCTCGCGGCGGTGGATTTACGTCGAGCGCGAAAACATTTGCGAGCGGACCCGAGAGAGAGAGAGAGAGATAAAGCGAAAAAGCTGAAAATATCGTCCACTCACTGTGCAAACACCGACCGCTGTTCGCGATGAACTCGCGCCGTCCGATAACAAAACGCGCCGGCGGCGAAGAGGGTGTTACGACGGCAACTGCACCTCGCCAGGAGCCGGCGCGCGACCGCGATTGCTTTTACGTCACGCGCGCTCGCGCGTGGACTTTCGAGCTGGTAAATATTGACTCCGGGGGACGTTTCGCGGACGCGAAACACGCTCGTCACGATAGGCGCGCGATTAACGTTCGACTGGTAGGCGGCTCTGCCGAAAAGCGCCGAGCTCGAGCGCACAATCGATAGTGATGATCGATGACGAAGATAACGTGTGAACTTCACGCGCCTTCGAGAAGCGCGCGCGACTCGCGAGGCAAGGACGAATGACGTCGAACATGGTCCCACTCGGGCTCATATTCTGGACTTTTTTTTGCCGCTAAAAGTAGTCTCCAAAAGTGGCCAATCAGAAGGCTTGTAGTCCGCTTTTAGAGGCGTTTCAGCGATAAAAGTTCACAGTGTGAGTCTCACCCAAGCAGAACAAGAAATCACGTCAAAATAAAACAAGGAAATGACTAAAAAATTCACTTTTTAATCGATTCGATCATTTTCTCGTCATTTTAAATCCTCAAACGACAAGGCAGGGACGAATATTCTTATACAATAAAAAAATATGTTCTTTTGTCAAATTATTGTTGATTTATCCTAATTTTAATATGTAAAAGAAAAAAATAAACTCAAGAAACGTTGGGATTATACATGGCCTACCTTGATATCGTTGTTTATGTTCCATAATTTTACCTTGTCGTTTGAGGGTTAATGTTATCGTGATTTTCTGCTCTGCTTGAATGATCTTAATATGATTTGAACACTTCTTCTTCAATGCATTTCAGAACGTAACCAACAGCCCAATAAGAGAATTTAACTTCTGGAAATGAATCCAAAACAAGTTTTCTCATTGGACCATTGACTACGTTCTGTGATGCGTCGTATTCAAGCCGTATTGAAACATAGGTCCTTATTCTGTGACTTGTGAGTCTTCCGACTGGTTTGTAAGCACACTTAGCAGCACTTTCATCGTTAAAAGACAGTTCAGAATAAGGGCCAAAGTACACGTCAAACTCCCGGACTTGTAGGCCTTCTGTGCCTTTCGTTCGCGCTTGCTCCCGTGAATTTCTCATTGACGAGACGAAAATAAAATTCCTTACTCGGCTGAATCCCGTATGTCAGAAATCCCGGCGAGCAAATGAGGAGGGTTCGGATTAATCTCCGAGGTGCCTTCCCGCGTTACTCGCACGTGAGGAAAATCACGGCAGCTCCGGTACGTTGCCGCGCACCTTGTTTGTTTCGCGCGGTGCGGCTTTTTTCTGTCAAAAGACACGCGTTATTCGTACTGACCCGACGATGACGCGACGCGTCGAGATCCGTGACGACCGCGGCGAGCTCGCGCGCTTCGCGAGCGCCACTGACTGCCCGGTTGGACGGTCGTGAGCCGACTGATAGGTGTATGAATGAAGCGCGGCCGAGATTTCAGAGCCGCGATGTTTGCAGGAAATTCAAAATCCTGCGTCGGCGGCGGCGGCGGCGGCAGTCACTCCTCGCGGCTTCTCGCGATCTCTTTTCCTCGAGCCTCGCATGGCACGCGACGACGTGAAAGCGTGATGCAATTTTCTCGATGGGATTTCGCGCTGCTCATAGGACAATTCCGTCGCGACGCCACGCACCGAGAGAAAAATGCTCGATCTCGCTAAAATTACAGTCATTTCCGACGTCGACTTCTTATAGCTCCAACAAAAACTAGTAATAGCTACGTGCAAGGTTATTATCACTGACTGATCGCTCGAGGTTTGACACTAACCAGAAAAATGGTTGCCCTGATATAATTTCTTTACGTGGGAAAAACTATTCCCGTTAGTGTAACTGAATTTTTCGTCGCGCCTCGTGAGAATGAGAGCCGAATAAAAAGAGACTCGGTTGCAGGGACAGAAAGATCCCTGCAGGAGACTTCTACTCAGTCAATTATCTTCAGTTTGTAACCAAGTTATTGTAACCAAATTGAAGCGGCTGTATGTTCAGACAAAAGTTTGCGGTTGCAGTAACAAAAATATCATTTCTCATCTGCCTATCGATTCTGTAACTTTTAAAGATAGCATCGTTAAAAGTTACAGAATCAGTAGACTGGTCCCTCTTCAGCTACACAAACCGAGATCTTTTTCTGCAGTCTACACTATTATAGTTATAAATATACCAAACACTTTTCTCTCAGTGCGGTTCATTGTTCGTTGCGCACGACATGTGAACGCAGTTTTTCGCAATAATCCGCAAATTTGGCTTCATTGATCGCGCGCGAAAGAATTTGAAGCGAATGGCTGTTGTTGTATGTGTCGCGAATGAAACTGATCACACTACAAATTATATCGTCCTGAGGAAAACGATCAAGGGATCGCTATGGCTTTTTAGTTTAACAACATTTATAAATCATATTGCTGCCGACTTGGCATGTTTCTCGCGAACTGACGAGACGATTAATACGTCCACAGACAACAACGATGTGAGATCATCCACGAGCGTCACAGTGAGAGATTGTTTATAACGCTGTCGCAATTAAGTTTTCAGACCGTAGCACTAGTGAATCAATCATATAGGTATCTATTTCCTTCGAGCGAACTCATGAGGAGTGAAAAGTTTTATCGAGTTTGTCAATGAAACTTTTCATTCTCTTCACGAAATTTACGCGAAGGAAACAGACACATGATCGATGCGCAGACTAGTTCTACCTGAGAACGTAACTGCGAGCGCATTGTAGACGATCCCTGCGAGTCACCGATGTTGACTCGCCCGAGGGAAACGCACGGAGGAAATTGGCACTCGACGTCGACGCGTTTGATTCGGCGAAAGGTAGGTCCACCACCGTAGACGCAGTAATTCCCGACGAATTCGTTTAATGAGTCAGACGTCGTGGGCGATGATCTCTTCTTTTTCCCCATAGAGTGACTTCACTCGCACGCAATGAGCCTCCGTGGAAATTATGACACGTAACTGCACGATCGACCTTGACCGTCGGGTCACCGAGTCATCGAAATTCCAACGAATTGGATTAATTTACATCGCGCTCAAATAATCGGAACAGCGATAAGTAGACAATCGTATCGCTGTCCGATATCGGCGCTCTATTCTTCTTTGTTGCGGAGATATCGAAATTAAAAATAAGATACGCAAAAACAACGAACAATCCGACAATCTGAACGACGGCGGTGTTCCGTAAAAAAACCCAATTTCCCTCGCGTTCCGCTTATCTGCGCGAACACGAAGGTGTCGCATGACTCGTACTTCGTCATAAAAAAATAATAATCTCTTCTACGTATTATGTGAGTCGTCTCTTCGCTTGCAGCCCGCCCGTAAACGATCTTCCTCGTCGATCCATAGGTACTGCTTATCGCGCTCCTGTATCGTATAACTTTTTTTTACGGTGCAATTAACGTTTGACGTTAGGTTGCGTCGTTGCGCGTTGATTAAACAGGCTCCTGCGAGGATGCACCGGCAGCTTCCGTTCTAACGAAACACCATACGGTAGCTCGTATCGACAAGTAAGATGTCCGGATGACCTTAGCGGACACAAAATTTCATCGTGTCTGCCCGACCGATCGTTGGCGCGCGCAATCACACCCATGCGAGAATATATCGAGGCGTAAATATTTATCAACAATATTTGTATCAACTTACATTCTAAGTGAGCGATTCTAGGCACGCGGACGTAACAAAAATACTCGTTTCGTGGATCTCCGTCGGTTCGCTTTTACGCAACGTTAGGATGGGAGAAGTGATACTACGTGCTGCAAGAGGATTGTCGTTGATACAAGGACGGACTGGATGAAGGCTGGAGGATCATCGGTATCATTTGTCTCAACTGGAAAGATCGAGAAAAAGAATATATAAACATTATATATTTTGTATCATCAATAAATTTATAATAAGCATCGTGAGAAGCATCGTAACAAGGCTTAACATCGTGAGAACACGTCCATAAAACGAAATTTTCTTTTTTTTTACGAGAGAAGGCCACCTGTATGAATACTGGTCGTTAATCATTGTGCGCTTCGATAATTAAGTCTCAAAAGTGATATGTTCTTTGCTCCCAATTTACACAGACGATATACGTGTTTATATATGTATGTGTGTGTGTGTTTGTGTGTCTGTGTGTGTACACATATATATATATATATAGATATATATATTAAAAATTACATTATTCACAATCACGTTTGTTCCAGAGCTTTACAACCCATACATTCTTCAGCATGTGTGACTTATCCTAAGAGAGGCATCGACAATAAGAACAACACCTGGTCTCCTCCCACCTTTGGTACAACGCTATCATTGTGGAGCTTTCGTGGAGTTGTCAGAGGAGTCCGCACTTGGCATAAGTAAAGCTATTGCAAATATTGGAGAAGTAAGTAACTATATGCAGTCAGAGACAATAAATAGTGACAATAAATAGTCAGTTTGCGTAATGCACTCACTAATGATGATGATCAAGATGACAACGCATATGATGCCGATGATGATCATCATTTTGAGATTCTTCCACCAGTACTTTCGCTTCAACTTGCCAGCATGCTGCTCGAATTGCGTTGCACCCTGTTGCAGAGCATCTGCCCGATTCTCCAGCTCAGAAAGCTTCTGGTCTCGTTCCAGCACCTTTTCAACGTTAACTTTCATTATCCCCACAACCTCCTCCACTGTGGCCTGTGTTTGCTGCAGCTTTTTGCTGGCCCCTGCCTGCTGCATGTTGCGAGGCCCACCACCTTCTCCCTCTCCTGACACACCGCTGCCTTCCATAATCCTGAAACAGAGAACGGCAAAGGTTTCGCTGTCAACCTGTTCTGTGTAGTTGTGGCTGTTCCCATCGAACGTCTCAATTTATAATCACCGTGAGATGAAATCAGATGAAGGAACTTGCGAAATATAATACTGCACAATGGTTCAAAGAGTCGCGAGAACGAGGAAGTGACGGCTACACACCCATAACCTCAAAAATCACGCATATGTTTCCAGAGTGTCACTCGCACGAGCCTGCTCGACCGACGAATATCTACAGCGTTCTTTTACAAGAAGACACAGAGATTTCGGGTGTGCGTAGGACTACAAGCACGCGAAGAAACACGATTCTCGGAGAATCATGAAACGGAGAACCATCCTTTAAACGGTATGACGCGCTAAACAATATTGCTCTGCGATAACTTTCATATTGTACAATGCTAGTCTCACTTACCTACGAGTGAGCGTAGAAGAGTAGAAGCAAGCCTACGATAACGACTAAAATCTGCAGCAAAATCCGGAACAATGACAACTCGCGCGATGACGACTACGACTTATGTGCGATGACAACAGTGGATGACGCAGATGAATATGGCGATCAATGGTGATAAAAAAATGACGTCAGGAATATTATAAAAATGCGTCTCTTCGGAGCGAGAGAGATCGATGACCACATCAAACAGGAGTTATTTCGTTCTAACGTGTGACACAAGTTCATAGCACGACTGATTAATTAACTATTTAATAATGCAAATAGTTTTCGTATTTTGTGACAGCTTGTTGCATTAGACGCCTCGTGGCGCCATCTAAGCGCGCGAATCCGAATTAATTTGTCGGTAAAGACGGTGGCTTTCTTTCACTAATTAAATTTAATTGCGAGTGATTATTTCTCGCAAAATAGAACGACAAAGAGGACGTGGTCTTAACACGTTACCTTGCTTACACACAGAACGATTGTAAAACGATAATTTAATAAAATATAAAACGCAAGACTATACTGTTTGCTGTTACATATCGTAATTGTACCTCAAGTATTCCCATACAACACAAACGTCCGAAATACATTCTAGAAGCGTCCCAGAAGTATCACATATCTCTGGAACGTTCCTGGGATGTATTGTGGACATTTGTATTTGTATTGGGTTCCATCCACGTTTCTCGATCCAACGCAATGCTCTCCCAATCGGAGGAACGCGAGGAAGGAGAGACAGAGAAAAGTATATTGTCAACAAATGAACAGAATGTAGCAACCGATATTCCGCGCCGAAAGTCCACTAGGTGATTGCGAATAATCACGTTATGGACGTCCATTTTCATCGGCCGTGTAGCGAAATACGTTTTCGCGAATGTATGACGCGACGTGCGCGTTACAACGATAATCTACGTGCGGGAGAACTCCCGCGGACGAAACGCAAGACTCACTCACCATCAGCAGCTGCCATAGTCGAGCGTACGAGCAATATCGCAGGAGCATCCTCGACGCGCGCCGTTCGCCGTGACACCGATGCGATGAAAATTGCGACGACGGGAGCACGAATAAGACATCTTGCGGGTGCGCGTCTCGGCGCCGCGTCGCCAGGGCCGTATCGCATCGACCTGGCGAACAGGCTGAAGCGGGGGTGCGACGCGCGGATTTCACTCTGACGCAGGTGTGACAACGCAGAACGTTTATCCTCAAATCGACGTCCCTGTCAATCGTGACAGATCGATCCACATATTGATCGCGCGTCGAGACGACTGAATCTCAACCGAAATTGCAGCTCGCGCGGCCGCCAGCTCGCATGACTCGGCACGTTCGACCAGCAGGCACACGTCCAAGATCTGGCGCGAGAATTTCTCCTACGGTCTCGTCCTGCTAAACACACGACGCACCGTGACGCGCGTTGATTCTTTAGAGAACTGTTCTCGTTAGCTGAACCAATTCCAGCGCGGCTGGAATTGGGTCGCGTCTTCCCCCACATAGCACAAGATTTAAAAGGTATCCCAAAGGATCTAGAGGGTCGCTAAATGTCCGCATAAGTCCTCAGAATATTCTGAAAATATTCCGAGGACTTCTAAATGTCCACACAAGTCCCCAAGATATCCCTTCAAGATCTTATGCTATGAGAGCCTTCTACCCTTTTCAACCTAGAGAGGCTACTCAGATAGCAGAAAATATCAAGAGAATTAAAAAAAAATTCAGTCGTACGTCACCAATTCTGAGTCTACTTTCAGGTGCAAAAAGAATTCTTCAGAGTTTAATTCAATGAAAAGAATTCTTTTTCACCTAAAAATGAACTCAGAATTGGTGACATATGACTGAATTCTTTTTGAATTCTCTGTGCTATCTGGGTAGAGAGGCAAAAGGCGAAGTTCAGCGAAAAGCAACAGATCTTAGATTAAGATCAAGATCAACTCTGGTGAAAATTGAAATTGGAGAGTAAATGAAGTGTAAACGAAGAGTGACGGAAGTGTAACCCCTTGTCCACAACCTTGCTTTAATCTTTAAGCCGTGAGATATTGATCAACCACAGTTGATTATTTTTAAAATAATCGACTATGGTTGGTCAATTTCTTACGGTTTAAAGATTAAAGCAAGGACAAGTGAAGCGCCTACAAAGCGTAAGTTGAAACATCGGAACGTAAAGCAAGCGGTTAGTATACTACCCGCTTGCTTCACGTTCCAATGCAGGCGCTTCACTTACTCTTCCATCACTCTTCGTTTACATTTCATTTACTCTCCAATTTCAATTTTCACCAAGATAAGACACAAGACGGAACGAAAATGAAAATTGTCAACACAAAGGGACGGCCGTATCGCGCGCGTTTACCTTGTGGAAACGGAAGCCTCCCCTGCAGCCGAGCGTTGCGCGACATTCCGCTGAGCAAGTCGGCCGAAGGATACTTTTCACGCGTCACTCTCGCACGAAGGACAAACAAGAAAGAGCGGACGCGACACCGAGCTCCGAGACGGTTTGAGGTTATATCTCGCGAGCACTTGTCGCGGAACGCCTTCGGACTGCTCGACGAGCACGGGCGAGAGGCGCGGGTGACGCGCGGCTACGTTCCTGGGGGTCGCGCAGGGTGTGTTCGCGTATGGAGGTTGCGCGAGGCGGCGCCGGCATTTATTGACTGAAGTCGGCGGCGCATGCGCACTCGGCGCCGCTGGCGCGCGCGACCCAGCGCTTCGAGAGATCGATTCGCCGGCGGTCGAGCGCGACGCGCTTCGAAGGCGCGATCGTCCGGATCGTTTTGGCCGCGTTGCGTCGCGCGAAATGTCGAGATGCCGATCACCCTGGTCGGCCTGAGACCGCGCGGATTCGCCGCGAACGGTCGTCGGGGCGCGGCGCGAGTCGCGAGAGCGCGGCGGCGACCGTTTCGAGAGCGGAAGTCAAAGTTCGAGGGTGGCGTTCGAGATGCGTCGTCGACACGCGGGGGCGCGCGCGCCGGCGATATCGCGCGGCGGCGTGCCGCTGGAAATTTTATCAATACCGCGGCCATCTAGTCTCGCTGGCAGTCGCTCGCGAAAAGTACGCGCCGAACGCCCGACGGGTAGCACGCCGCCGACGATAGCCGTCAAACCGCCGTCAAATCGACGAGGATAGCCGGAATAGGAAGAGCCCGAGGCGATCCACAACGAGCATGTGAGTACACGTGATAATTCAGCCGCGTTCGCGGCTCCCCATCGTCGTCGGCGACCGCGACGGCGAAAGAGGCTCGAGGCCGAGTCCGAGATCCAAGGCGAGGACGCGGACGATCCGGTCACTCTCGTGACGCGTGGAAGACGGTGGAAGATCTCGTCGACCGAGGGCTATTTTCTCTCCACGGGCTGTGCTTCCCGTGGAATCAAGCAGCTGCTCGTGCGAGAAACTCGCTTTCCGCCACGGCGCCGCGGTGTAATCGCGGAGTAACTCCACAGGCGAGATGGTCGAGGTGACGCGTACACCAGCTTGAGCAGCCTCGGCCAGAAGAGTGTGACTTCTCCGATATCACGCCCCGTCGCGGTCGTCGTGGAACGTTCGTGCGTTCGTTCAGGAAACGGAGTCGTGGACGTCGCGCGGCGGCACAAATGGCGATTGTTTCTCGTCAGAGAACTGCATCGGGAGTGAATTACGCGGCGAATCGACAACGTCGACCGAGTCGAGGATACTCGCGTGAATGATCGTATTTTTTCCTCTTTTCTCTCGTTCCTCCTCCTTCGAGAACGTCCCACTCGCGACGTATTGAACGCGCTGCGTTAACGTAACGAGCGATTATGGCAGATCTATAGCTCCTGCCGGAGCGCGCGCGCGCGCGCGCGTCTCTTTCTCTCTGTGAGTGTGTGTGTGTATGTGTGTGTGTGTGTGCATGTGAATTTCCTTTTCTCCTCTTCCTCGGACGGCGCGATTTACGTGCGAGGAGTTTTCGTGGAGAGCGGAGGCGATCGATGAATTTTGCGGATGTGAATGCGCAAAACTCGTCATCGTGCGGCCGCGAGCACCGTCCTCGCGGATCGCAACGGCGCGTTGTAAGATGCGTTTTAAGACGCAATTGCCGCGAGGGGCCCCCTCGTCGCCAATCGATCCTCTCTCGCACCACCCGTCCGCGGCATACGGCAGAATTTCCGATAGAATGCAACGGAGCTTAGAGGTGCGTCGCACCGGCGCGATTTCGCGTCGAAGGAAACTGATCGAGACTGAGAAAGACGGCGGACGGCTCTTCCTCAGCCCTTCCACCGCCTTTCTTCAGCCGCCTTTCCCCGGGAATACAAGCACGACGTCGCGTTGATTTCCTTCGACGTCACGTCGAGTTTTTGTTTGGAGCTGTGACACCGAAGTCTCGCGATCTCGGAGAGTTTCCAGCAATGCACGCGTCGCGAAAATCTCTTCCGCTGCATTGAGAGAGAGAAAGAGAGAGAGAGAGAGAGAGAGAGAGAGAGAGAAGCGAAAATTTTCTCCGATTGCAATTGAGAAATAATTATCAAGGTTCTCTCGGGTTATCTTTCTGTGTCATTCGTCCGTTGACATTATACTGTGAAAAATAAGGAGGAGAACCGAACGCTTCGCAGCGATTGAGTCACGATGTGGGATCGTCGGACTTGATTAATCTGGCTTTCTAATTAGTCCGCGACGTGTCTCTTCATTTGCATGCCGCACATATGCGCCTTCATGTCTGTCACAGCCACATTTTTTTACGATTGGTCATCGTTCAATTATGGGATCGTGCGTGTCACATCTCGATGAAAGCGATGCACTTGCAAGCGTTGTGCCGATTATTCGCTCGCGATCTTCGACAATTTCGACAAGGACGCAGGCGATTCAAACCCCGTTCGTCGTCGTTGCAGCAGCCATACTTGACCGACAAGTTTGGGTCTCGACCTTTCCGCAGAACACACGATCGTAGTCGAGTGTCTCGCATTCACGGAAACATGCATTGCCGATTAAAGGGCGGATATTGAGCGCAATATCGACCGCGTGCGCGATTTCTTTCTGCACAACTCTTGCTCGCTCTTATTTAACAGTGCAAAACCTAAAGTGGACCTATTTTGGCTTAAAAAGATTTCAATATCTTTTAAACTGCACCATCTATGCAGGTGCAAATCTGACAAATCCTAAAATTTTTGGAACAGGAAAATTGATCATCTTTTTTTAATTTTTATATCATATTGTGATTTCGTATGTTGCACATGTAATATTATGTTTTTTGAATCGTTGAACTCGTGAGCCGTACGCGTAATCTTACGTTTTTTAAGGTTGCTAAATACAATGGTGCAGCATTTTTATCCATCTCTAAACCCGTGTAAAAGTTAAAATTTGATTCACATTTTTTTTTTGAAGGGATGAAATAAAGTCATTTTTAACAGCAATTTGATTAGTAGATTTTGTTCCAATTATTTAATTACTTATACTGTAGTGTTTAATTTTATAATCTTCTTCCACTGAAAACTGGAAACATTTCAAAATAAAATACTTAAAAAATGCTAAATCTCCTTATAAGAAGTTCTTTAGTAGAGAACCTCTAGAATGGTATAAAGGAATCCGCCATTAATCATTCCAACATTCTTTAAATTGCACCATGTATGCAAATACACATCTGATAAGACTTTAAGAAAACTGAATATCTTTTTTTTAATTTTTATATTGTGATTTCGCTGTGTTAGTTTAACATTTCTGAAATGTTTCCTTGATTCTCAGTGAAAAAAAATTCCAAAACTATAAACTATAATACAAGTGATTGAATAATCGAAACAAAATCCAGCATTAATCGAATAATTACACTGAAAAAAATTTACTAAATTTCAAGAAACGTTTGTTTGGATACAACTGTGAACATATTTGTTTAAAGTACGCAATTTTATTTTCTAAAATTAAATAAAGAAGTTTTAAATATAAATTTCTTTCTTTGATTTTAGAAAATAATTACTTAATTTAAACAAATATGTTCACAGTTGTATTTAAACAAACGTTTTTTGAAATTCGGTAAATTTTTCTCAGTGTACTAAAAGTGATCGCAATTTTGATCACTTTCCCACGGATTTGGAAGGCCAAAAATTGTCGTATTCAGCTATCCAAAAAACGTAAGATTATGTGTGTACTTAACATTTTTTAACCGGTAACTTTGGGTCGTTCTTAGCGCAGCTACAATGAGGGGAAAATTATCTTAAAATCAACAAATATTACTTTGATGGATGCACGGAAAAAAAAATTTGGTTAAATTAATCAAATATCTGGTCGAATATGAACAATCCAGAAATTCCGATTGAAATAACCCGAATTCTGTTTAAGTTAACAAGATTTTTGGTTGACTTAAACAGAATTCGGGTTACTTCAATCGGATCGTTCATTTTTTACCAGATATTTGATTAATTCAAATCTTTTTTCCGTGTGCCATTAACATATTTACTTAAATTTAAATTCTCTTTATTTAAATCAAATATTGTTTACCTGATTTAAGTAAACAATATTTGGTTTAAATAAAGAGAATTTAGATTTATATAAATAGATATGTTAATGGCAGCCATCAAAGAAATATTTGCTGATTTTAAGATAATTTTTCCCTCAGCGTAGTGCGCTTTGCCGCGCACGTTTCGCGCGCGCGTTCGGTGCGAGAGCCTAATTGCGGACGAGAATATATACGCCAGGATCAATCGCGAAACGCGGCGCGCCGCTACATGTCAGCTCGCAGTTTCTATATTTAGATAATCAATGATGAGCACATTTACGGCAATGTTCTACGGCTTTGCTAGACGAACGGAAAGGTTCGCGTCGTGCGTCCGTATCGGCGGCGGCGAACGATGAACCATCGCCGGATCGTTCGCGCATTGATCGAGAACGACGGAGCCCTCGATGGGCGCCGATACGTGCACTGAAAGAACGTTGAATTCAGTTGAACTTGACTTCTGTTCAAGTTGACCACACTTCTGCTCGAATTAACCAAAAATCTTGTTAACTTGAGCAAAATTCTTGTAACTTCAAGCGGAATTTCTGGCTCGTTCATATCTTCACCGGAAATTTGATTAATCCAAACAAATCTTCTTCATTCCCATGTATATACATTAAAATTCTAAACTTGTATAATTGCCATCACCATGTTTTTCTCTGAGTATTCTCAATTTTATAATGTTTCTAATAATGCAAAGATAAACCGTCAGTAAAGTCTGTTTTGCTAAAGATCATATCCAGACAGCACAAACTTTTAAAAGAGACATCTTTTAGTTTTAAAGACTAGTTAGTTAAGAGCTAGTTTTAAAGACATCCAAGAAACATCCTATTTTATTTAGACATCTTTTGCACGTCCTTTAGAAGCCTTTAATATTTATATTTCGGAATTTTGTGCTGTAAAAACTGGATAGTAAATTTTTTTTTTTTTAAGGGAACATGACAAATGGAACATTTTAATTCCTAAAATATAAATAGCACATATAAAATAAAAGAATAAAATAAACTGCCGCGTATAACGTCAATCTAACACACAACATCCCGGTTACGGAATATATTTGTAATCTATGTTGCAAGTATATTCACTCGTGGATACTGCACGATTTTCAACAATTCTTTTATGTTATCAGCCTTGTATTCGGCCTGCAAAAGCCTGAAAAGTTGGGCCTGACAATAAAAGGCACCAACTCGTCTCGAGTGGCGTCTAATGCGTTTCTCAATTCGATGAGAGTACGCGAGGAGAAAACAGATCTCGTGATGCAAATCCTGCGAGAATCCACCTTGTTCGGCGCCAGTCACACTAATCCAATAACGTGGATGAAAAGAAGCAGCGTCCGCGATCGATGTATTAATCTCTTTACGTAACCCATTTTACGCCGTGTGAAGCTTGTGCGCGTCGAATATCTCTATCTCTTCCTCTCGGTTTTTGCGTGCAGCCAAAGCGATCGCGAGAGTATCCCGATATCGAGCCGCTACGTTACTGTACTGCAAAACTCTTCGATTGCGTCGAAAAAGCGTCTCTACGCGGAGCGAAAAATTTGGTCGGATTGAGCAAATTCCTGGTAAAATATGAACGAAACAGAAATTCTGGAATTTTGAAGTTACCAAAATTCTGTTCAAGTTAACAAGATTTCTGCTTAACTTGAACCAAATTCTAGTAACGAAATTGTCGTTACTGTTTGAATGTTTTTAATGTCGTATATAGATCGTAAAATTTACCACTTCTA